AAACATAGAATGGATAGTTTTTATACAGTTCTACTAGATTTCGGTATCCTTAAAAATATTTGCTGGCTGTCATTTTTCATGGAATCTTTTAGTGGACAATGAAGAAAGTTCTTAGAAGCTTGACACAAAATGAGACCGAGTTTATTGCAATAGTTTTCTCACTGTATTTTGTATTGTGATTCCATAAAGCCTTCTGAGATATACCTAATACCCATTACCAAGGGTTCCGGGTAATATACTGACTTTTAAATGTTAGATGGAAATATTTTTACAATTCATTATATGCTTTCCTTCTTAATCAGAACACAAGGTCTTAATCAGAACACAAGCCACACAATGCTATCTTTTGACTTTTTTGCGGGGGGCGGGGGGAGGGTTCTGTTCTCAGTTTTCCTAGTTCCCTTCCCTGCTCACCAATCTCTCTTCTCTCTTCTAATGTGATGTTCCTAGTCTGCTGTGGTCTTCCCAAGTGGGTCATGAGCTCAGTGGCCTCATGCATATCGTAAGAATCAGCGAGAACTGAGGGAGATCAGAGGCCCTGCTGTTAAGGACAGCACAGGAGTGTCTAAACCTGAACTTTGTCTTCTTTTTTTTTTTTTTGCCAATCAGAGGTCATTGTCACTTGTTGATTGTAAGATGACTATCTAAATTGCAGGGTGGATATCTTAATTCTAGAGAGGTGAGGTACCATAGTTTTTAGGTGCTCTGAGTCAGGTGCCATGGAGTTCAAGAAGGAGGAGGAGTGGAGCCCATAAGCTCTCGGGCAGGAGCCATGCTTCATTATCTTCGTGATCCTGGGCCCAGCACGGTGCCTGACACAACTGAGGTGCTCAATTAATGTTTTTAAATGAATGAGGTTTCGTTATCATAGTCAGCTCAAGGCCAGTTTTGAAGTTTTTGCCTTGCATACAGTTATTCCTTGTGTTTGGGTTTCTGTCTGTCCGTCTGTCTCTCTATACTCTGGGAAGTCTTCCCTCCTTTTTGGATCATATTCATTTTCCCTGCAATATGTTGTAACTTATTTCATGTAGCTATTAGATGGAAAACAATCAGAATATGATTTCTATGAAAATATAAACTTAAAAAGCCCTGTTTTAGGTACACTTTTACTTTTAGGGGGGTTGCTTGTTAGTCAAAATTAAACTCTAAATAGCAGAATTAAGATGATTTTAAAAAATGGAATGATTCATACATTTCTGGTGTAAAATCTGTCTGGAAAGCAATTGAGAAACACAGATCAAGGGCCTTAAAAGTGTTCATGCTTCTTGGTCTGGTAATTCCAATTCTAAGAATTTGTCCAAGGAAGATAACAAAGACTTGTGTGGGAGAGTATTGAAAGACTCAAAGGTGCCACTCTTCATGTTCTCACTCCCCTGAAGGACTCCCATCTCTGCTAAGATTGTGTGAAGCCATTCCCTGGCAATTCTCCCCCCTGAGAGGGGGATCAGAGAGAGACCCTCTCTTTTCAGCCAGCTAATAGTCATAGTGAGTTATTTGAGTCCCAGGAATGTTACCTTTGGTCTATTTCATTTTCTCTCCAGATTAAAGAAAAAGAAAAAGGTAAGTCTGTTTAGATAGGTAGAGGGAAAATAGGAAAATTTCCTATTCTGTTCTCAGCCTCATCTTAAAAAAAATTCTCTTTCACACGTTCTGCGTGGAGCACTGGGTGTTATGCACAAACAATGAATCATGGAACACTACATCAAAAACTAATGATGTAATGTATGGTGATTAACATAACAATAAAAAATTATTGAAAAAAAAATTCTCTTTCAGGAGTAGAGTCTCCAGACAGAATAAGCCCCAGAACTACGTGGGAAGAAGGCCTTGTTACATAATGGATATTCTTCTGCAGATGGTTTCAAAGACTGTGACACAGCCATGGTGGCTATTAAATGGATTACTTTAAAAATATATACAACTCGGGTTGTGGGCCTCATTTAAAAATTTCATTAAGATTCTTAATTGCTTACAGTTATATTTCTTCTTAAGTTAGGGTAATTTAGTTGAGATCTGCAACTGGCTTTATGTGCATGGCTGTCTTAGGTACATTCCCGAGAACTCTGCTTTCGGGGAACTAATCACACTTGAACTCATCTAATAATGCATTTTCCTTTCCTTTTCCCTTTTAATAACACATTCTTCATAATTTCCATTGAATTAAATTATTTTTCATTGTTTTCCTGAGTGATTCCCAGATACAAATTATGTCTTCCTGCTAGTCTCCTTTCCTTCCTTCCCAGTGGTAATAATAACTTGAAAATATGTAACTAGTTGTGTGTCTTTTAAGGCCTGTCTCTCTTCCTAGACTCTTCCTAGACTGTGAGCTCATACAAACAGAGGGGACATCGGCTTACCCCTCTACACCCACAGTGTAGCACACAGTGAGCCTTTACCAAGCACGGCCCAGTAAGTAGATAAACAAACAGAACTGCTTCTGGAAAAAATGACCAGCATTATAGCAACATGGACATCTGATCTCCCCTGCATAATGTCACCTGTAAGTCAGCAGATGGTTTTATATCGTTCAAAGAATATAAGTGACAAGTGGTTTAAATCTCGGACTAAATGCATGTACGTACAAGTGAGACTTGCTATCACGTATGAATTGGACCCTTCTGTAATACAGACATTTGTTTTGAACTCTGGGAAAGGGTTAGCTGTTGCTAAGAAGACCGCAAAACATCTTGTTACAGTAGAAAAGCCAAAATGAACCGCCACGCCATCCCCAAGAGCAGCAAACAAACTTCCAGAGCAAACCTTTCCAGGAACTGTAGGAAGGAAGATTAATAGACTATAATATAAGTTCAGTTAATGTATTGAACCCTGTCAGTGGCATTTTTCTCACTGATTTCTAAAAAAACAAAAATATATATATAATTTTTTAATTCTATAGGCTTTCTCTATTGTTACAAGTTTGATCAAATCTTTTTTTTAAAATTAGCTATTCATTATATATTTTTTCTTGCTTTCTAAACCTTGTCTCACCATATGAATGAGTTAGAATGAGGAAGGAACAAATAGAACAAACCAAAGTTATGGAGAAAGTATGTGTGTGAACTTTATTTCATCATGAGAAAATCACTTCTGTGCAGTAACAGAGAATACTGATATATCTACACGATGGTAAGGTTTTCTTTGTATTTAGATACATACCTTATATTTGTACACAATATATAAAATTCATGGAGGAAATTAATTTCTACAGTACAGTTTCTTTGTTGGAAGAGGACTTGTTCCGTTAGTTTCGTTTAGAAAATGACCCCCAGTTCTGTGACTGTGGTACCAGGGATCGCAGTTCCAATCCTGTAATTTATTAGACACCATAATCTTATGAACAGTAAGAGAAACTGAGAAACTACATCCTCCTGCAGGATGAAAAGAGAAACATGAATGCTCAAGCTGCTATGCTAGTAACTGATTTTAGCGGAAGAATATGATTTCCATGATATATTATGAATAGAAATAGTAGGTCTCATGATACATATTAGCAACATTGCTGCAAACTGTCTCCCTGCTCTGACGGCATGCACTTCACTCTTCAATCAAACCGCCTTGTACGCACGTGGGAAGCGAGGCCATCCTCATGAAGGGCCTTCTGCATGGCATGTGGGCAACTCTTGGAGGGCTTTAGCGTTTAGCATGGTACTCGGGAAAAGAGGCAACTGCTCTCAAGCAGAGAGGTCATCCCAGAGAGAAGTTGCTAAAGGGTCATTCGGGAGGCTGTAGCTACCACATGCCTATAACCCGATGAGAATAGGTCGTGTGGGCATGTTTCCTTCAGCGAATCCTTCTCTTTGAATAGCATCCCTCACAGACTTACCACTGCTCCCCAAGCACGGTTTTTACGGCTAGGGGCCTGTCAACCTTGCTGTGGGATTTGAAGTTGTGCTTGTTTTTAACCATGTGAACCATTTAAAGGGTGATTGGTGCATGCCAAGGTTTGTGGGAAGTGGGAACAAAACACCACCACAGTTCTTTGAGCTAACATCTTGAATTTGAACAAAATCAACACAATTGGTTCTGCAGAGGGAAGTTATGGGGAATGCCAGTGGGGTGACTTCTATGATTAAAATGACACCCAGAAGGTCTGAAAATGCTTTGGCACCGACCACAATCACCTCTTCATAGGTTTAATTTCATGTGCTGTGATTGCTTTTAAAATGAAAATGTTAAAATCCTCAGAGGTTATACCTGGTCATCAAAGGCAAGCCCCTCTTCTGAGAGGAATGGCTTGACTCTGATGACCAAAATATTTACAGTATGGCCAAGAAGTGAAAGTTCTCTGGGGCTTGACCTTGTACAGTGGCCCTTGGTGGCCTAACCCAGCCTAGAGGGACGGGCAAAGGTGAAAATGGCGAGGTAATGTGGAGTTGCTGGTCATTTCCTGTTTGGTGCCCACAGGAAGCCTCAGTCCTGGTGCCGCTGGCCTCGGCTTTGGCAGTGAGATGGAAGCGGTCCATGCTGGGTAAGCCAGGAGTGGCCGACAGGCCCTCTCTGAACAGCTCTAGCACCCCACACCCATTGGAAACATGTTCAGTCACACAAATTCACAGCTGGAAACAACCTTGGCCCCACCCTCAGAAACAGGCAAGCACTACAAAGCAATTTAGAATCATCTGGGTAAAATTGGCAAGTGATGTGTGTCGTGGAGAATGGGAGCCTGCCCTAGAGCCTAGATACATTTGTTTCACACACCGGGGGGACATTCAGGCCTTCATTTTTTCAGCTTCTTCAACTGCAGCTTATTTAGAGTGTTATCAAAGGAAGCCGACGCCCCAGGCCATTTGAACTGCTGCTGTGGACTCTTTGGTTTGATCACATCCACATACCATGGGCTCTCTAACGGCAGGAGAGGAACAGCGGCATTGTGCCAGAATGCAGAGCAAGTCATGGAAACACTTCAGAATGTGGGCAGTGGTGGGGTTACCTCCGGGCTTGCCAGCCACTTTAGATGCCTCGCAGTTCTCGCTCTGAGGGATACTGCTGAAGGGCCTTACCCTCAGACGTTTGGAGGACCAGGGTCTTGCTGTACTGGCTGACTCCTGTTTTGTTGAAGGCCTTGATGCGAGCGTTGTATGTGCTGTTGAAGTGAAGACCGTCCACGGTGCACATCGTCTCCTTTCCAACATACACTTCCTGAGGGTCAACAAATAACAGGCCACCATTTAATGCTAGACCTGGTGAGGGGAGAGGGACGCAGTGTCACTCAGTGGTCAGGAGCAAGTATTTTGGTGGCAGCCTGATCTGGATTCAAATCCTGTGGGGTACTAAGTCATTTAATTGACCTTTTTTTTTTTTTTAAGATTTATTTACTTATTATTTGAGAGAGAGAGAGAGAGCATGGGGAGGGGAGGAGCAGAGGCAGAGGGAGAGGGAGAGAATCTCAAGCAAACTCCCTGCTCAGCGTGGGGCCTGATGCGGGGCTTGATTTCACGACCCATGAGATCATGACCTCAGCCAAAACCGAGAGTTGGATGCTTAATCAACTGAACCACCCAGGCACCCCTAATTGACCTTTTTAAGTCTCGGTTTCCTCATATGTAAAATGGGGACAATAATACCCAGTTTATGAGGTTGCTAGGATGATCATTATAAGGAGGTCACGTGTGCAAACTGTTGAACATTTTACCTTATATTTAGCATGGGCCTGGCACCTTAATGAATGGTAATTACTAGCGGTTAGGGTTTAAAAACTTAAAATTGGGTGCTTATAGTTAGCATTATGCTTATTATTATTAATTTGGCATTTACACATTTATTATTATACCTACTGAGCTCTTTCTCCATCAGCACGATTTGTAAAAACTGGTTTGAAAACATGAGGGTCGTCTCTATAACTCCACTGGTAACTTTAGGAACTGTCACAAAGATTACACTCAGAGTCATAGGAGTATAGGTTTTATCGTGGAGCAGAGGGAAGGGGGAGGATACAGGGGCGGGAGGAAGAATGACATTTCAAAGGCTTAAAATAAACCGTAGCATAATGCATCTTTAGCATAGGTTAGGCATGTGCCTCCCTCTTTAGCTGTAGGCTTCTGTAACATTATGCTGATGTAATGAGTAAAAATAATTTGTATTCAAAGCACAGCCTTAAAATGATAACTCTCTGGTGGGATACTAACCAGATTGGGGTCTAGGGTCCTCGCATGCTAAGAATTTTATATGATGGATTATCTAACTGACTCTTAACAACAATGCATGTGGTATGTGTTAATATCACCGTCATTTTACAAATGAGGTCCTGAAGGCTCAAAGAAATGAGGAATGGGCACAGTCACATGGCTAAATGGTGGAGTCGGGATCCGAGTGCAAGCAGCTGGACTCCAGAGCTTGTGGCCTACATGGGCCTTCTCTTCAGAAGGGGAGGGCAGTTTCTATTCAGAGACTCCTTCATCCACCTTTGATGGTTCAAGGAGAATGCAGGCCTCCGTTGAAGGGCAGGCAGACCCTGCCAGGATGGTCTGGCCTTAGGAGAGGTGGGGAAGCTTGGCCTGAGACCCCACAACGGGTCCTCTGAGGTGGTCCCTGGCTTTGGTTAACAAGTAGCAGATGCTCTACTTACCCGGAACTGACCACCATTGCCGTCATCCAGCTCCAGAATGTAGCCTTCGGCAGGCACCGTGGACAGAGGTGGCTGTTTCCAGGACAGCGTGGCACTGTTGTTGTGAGTACAACACTCCTCCAGCTGCAGGATGGGGGTTGCTGGGACTGGAGAGGAAGCTAAACAGAAATTAGTGTAACCCTGGCTTCTGCTGAGTTGCAAACATTTCAGGATCTTGGAATGAGAAACATCCCCCTGATCAACATGTGGCTCGACTAAGTAGCTAGCTCACAGGGGACCTGAAATGGATCCCTTCCAGAGTCTCTAGGAGTGGGACTGGGTCCTAAGCTGCTGTGCTGCCTTTCCCCAAACTCGTGGTGGCACTTCTTACCTTAACTGTTGGGGAGACAATCACTCTGTTCTCACCCCCTTGAGCACCAAAGACATGATACCTAAGGGAACTATTTTAATGGAGGATGGGTTTCCAGCCCAGCCTACTAAAGCCCATGTAACCCATAACAGGGCTGAAAAATGTATCACAAAATTTATTCTGAGCCTTGGCCTCCAGTGTATAAACTTGGAACTGCCTATTCTGAGCAGTTTGTTTGTTTTACCAGTGATTCTACTCAAGGTCTTGTGTGTGTGAGTAGCTGCAACAGTGGATTTTTGAAAACTTAGTACTAAGGGACATAGAAACAGCGATTTCTGCATTTCAAAACTTCTGAGGAACTTGACCTCATTCTTTCAAGGTAGCTATGCTAGCTCAGGTCCACTCTCTGCAGGTGCAGAACAGCCTGGAGAGTAGTACGGGAGCAGAAGGGGCCCAGCAGGGGAGGGTCAAGGTGTCCTTGTGACTTTGTGAGAATCTGCCACAGTACTACTGGTCACAACATGCCCCTGTCCCCATTTTGTGCTGGGGGTCTTTTCTATTACTTCAAACTGCAGAGTGGTTGAGCCTTCAGACACATAGACATAGAACTGTTAGGTACCAAACACTCCCAGTTCCTAACATATGAACTCAATGTATGTATTTGGGAGCAGTGTTTTTACCAACAGCTTAAAATTTTTTTTTTTAGCACCAAACCATTAATTTATTTTTGTAGCACTTTAACAATAGGAGAGAACAGTTTGGGCCGCATCCAGGGACATTTAAATGAACAAATGTTAATTATGGAACACCTGGTATGCTGTACCGAAATTGGACTCCGTGTCATGTATCCAATTATCTGCTCCCTGCCATCACCTCAACCCCAAAGATGGTTTATTTAATAGCAGTTTAGGAAACAGGTTCTAAGATGGATAAGCTAAAGAACAATAGCAGTGATCAGAACACAAGAGATGCGAAGGTGAGGCAGGTCAATTATGCTTAAGAAAAGACTTTGATACAAGAAGACCATGCTGGAGTTACTAGAGCAAGCATAACAAAATCAAAATTATGACCAGTTAATTGGAGGTGGTGAGTGTAGGAAGGGAAATCATGTTTCAGATTTCAATGGCATAGGGTTCAGTTGGTCTTATGAGAGAAGAGTGGCTTCTACAGCCTCAGAGGTCCCCGAACATCCAGAATTGGAGGAAAGGAGATAGATTCATTGCCTTGTTCAAGAAATAGACTACAGGACAGGATGGGAAGGGAAGGAGAGAGAAGACGTAACTCCTAGTGATCATCTACCCATAAACAGGCATCACCTAAGAGTTGTAATTGGAGGGTTAACTTCAGGTCATCATGTATTAGGAAACCACTTGGTCATTAAACATTTTTCCCTTATAAAAATAATAAATTTTAACATATTAACTATGGAGTAAATTATGATGAGTTTAAGCAAACCGTTCTTCAAAGGGCTTCTAGAGACATGGAATGATTCTCCCCAGGGATATTTGCTCTGAGCTGTCCTTATGAATCAGAACCTACCATAAAACAACCTATTCCTTGGACTCTCTTTATTTCATTAGCTCCCCCATCAATCTTCATTTTCCCTTTGTTCATATTTCAGGCAAGTCTACATTTCATCAATTTTAAAATGAAAGAATAAGATCACGAGATGGTTTCAACTTGAATCATGCAAATGCTTGCAATGTCTCCGATAAGAAACTCAAATTTCCTTGTATAGGCATAGGTATAATTAACAGATTAATTGAAATACATGGTGTCATGTGTAATTAAAACATGGGAACTTCATTTGTAAGTCCTCAGTGCATACACTTTAAAAGATCAAAAAGATAATAAAAAGTCTAACCACTCACCAATCTTCAGATTTTAATATTGTCTAGAACTTAAACAAATTAAGCAAACAAAAAAGTGACATGAGGGAGGGAGGGAAAGAGAGAGAGAGAGAAACAAAAATGAAGGAATATAGAGACATTTGCATGTCTAAATCTATTTCTTGATGTGCTCAGAATTATTTTTTCTGTTTCCTTATTTACCCCAAAGTGATGCGGCATATAAAAGGCAAATGTGACAAAATTACAGCCTCATTAACAAAGACTAAGGCTGACGTTTTAGAAAAACAGATTTTATAGTGGGTGTTATATTACCCTATTTCACTTTATTAGGTATAAAATAAATGGTCTGTAAGAATCCAAAGTATTTTCAAATTATTTGTGTTTTGGAAATGGATAGCATCACAGTTCCTGGGCTGAACTCTAAGAAATTTTTATTTTACTGAAACTTCTGTCATTGGGTTGCCATAGCTGTCTTAATCTTAACACTTTCAACATCATTCTTGGACATCTTTGTTTTTCCTAAAGAACCAGTTTCTCCTGACCTGATCAAAAGTCTGTTGCTTAGCATTCTTTGGGCCCATAATATCAAGCTTCAGGCTAAAAATTCTCTCCTTAGTTGCAGGGGGCAACCGTTCTTACCGACTTCCTTGAAGGGGACTAGTGGAGCCTCAGCTCAAGATTAAATTCTGCAACAGTGTCTTCTTAAAGTTTTCAAATGTCTTACGTTTTTAAGGCCATTCTCATTCAAAGAATAGCTTACATTTTTCATGCTCATTTAATTTTTTTTTCCACATCCTGCCGACTGTGAACACTCACCACGCTGCAGGATTCCTCTGTGAAAGGTCCCAAGAGTGTGGCGGGGACATGTAAGGACACACGGGCTCCCACCCTGGGCATGGAAACTAATGGTGGGTGATGCTTTTTGAGTGCCTGGCAGTTTGCTGAGAGGTTCTCCATGTCGTCACTCATGTGATTTTCACAGCACCCCCACAAGAACAGGTGCTGTTATCATCTCTAGTTGGTAGATGAGGAAACAGAAACAGACAATTTTCATGGCTACTCGGTGGCAGAGCTGGCGTCTGAGGCCCAGCAGGCCGGCGCCAGGGGCTGTGTGCATATTTGCACCACACCACCTCTCCAGTCTGGTGTAGTAATAGTGTACTGGAGGGAAGTCACCACGCCTCATTCCAAGAGGAATGTTTCCTTTTGCTTCCTGTAATGTGAGTGATAAAGTTCCCTGAGACTTGCTGGTATAGATTAACGAAATATTTCACCATACACAGCATAATGCATGGATCTATCAAATCACTGTGTGGTCTACACACAGTGTGGACACGAGTGTGACACGTGGACACGAGTGTGACACACTGGGTGTCAACCATACTTTAATAAAAATTGTGAAAAGAAAAGAAAGAAATATTTCACCACAAGAGCTACAGTGGCTGAGAATGCAATTCTCCTGAGTCATCTTGTCTGAATGTTCCCTGGTGGACCGTTGTTCCTTTTTGTGGTGGCTGAACAACACAAGTGGCATCTTAGGAAAGTTTATGCTTTAGAGGAACAACAAGCTGTTTCTGCAAAGCTCTCATTAGTACACTGTTACAGAGAAATGTGAACGTGGCTTTTGAGGACATGCATTGCAGGTCTCCAAACCATGAATGGATCACGTGCATGAACAGATGACATGCGAGTCAGTGTGTGTGCTCATCCCCATCCCTGCCAAACCTCTGGGTGCTCTTTCTCTATGATTTATAAGAGGGTCTGTTCACATCACACCGACCTTGCCCATGACCTTGGTGCATAGTCAGGGCTCTTACATTTGACATGAGTTCATAAAGATAAATGTGTTCTTAGGTGACTAGAGGCACTTAAGGGATTAATAGCCATCGGTTTATGTGTTAAAAAGGCTTTGGGGAGCATTAGGTCACTGTGTCATATCCTGGTTCAGAATGAACATGCTGGCATTTCTTTTCAGCACTGAGTCATGAATCTTGGGACATTGTCTATACTTGAAACAATTCTGAGATAATATTTTTCTGGGGCTGTTTGAACAAAGAAGGTACAGCATTCTCCACTTAGAGTTCAGTTGCTTGAGGGTGATGCAGAATCAGAAAGAGCAGATCAGTTAAATCCTTCGCTCATAAAAGAATAATTTTCTTGCTGAGTAGTAGCTGGGTAGTAGTAGTTTAAAAACCAGCAACAGACCTATCGTCTTTGATATCAAGGAAAAAAAAAGGCACCTGAGATGAAATTCCAAAACCAGAGAGATGCTAGAATTTCCAGTTAAGAATGAACAGATATTTTTGTTGTTAGTTTGAGTCAGAACTTTAAATGCGTATTTTAAGTTGCTTTGAATATATTTTAACTTTCTACTGTAATCTGCTTAGCATAATTAGGAAACATATGTTGAAGTACACGTATTAATGGTCAGATTATTTTAGCACTGTTCCCAATGCTATTTAAATTTTGGCCATTCTTACGTGGATTTGAGGGTACAGTTTCTTGAGATATTTTTACCAACAAGCTGTGAGAGTGCAGTGTATTAAACTGACCAAGCATTTCCGATAGAAAAACACTAACACTACACCCAGCACAGTTGTGTATGTTAACAGCTATCAAAGAGGCCAGTAGGAGTTGTCTTAACTATAGCCAGTCAAGTTCTATTGCGTCATGACCTTTTGGCTTTTCCTTTCCATGGAAAACATCTCACAGATAGAAATTATTTAGAGTCTAAATTGTACTTGTCTCTCACTGAATTAATTAAACTTAACGAGCACAAAGCAAAGCATATAAATTAACTCTGCAGAAGGATACTAATCAGCAGTAACTTAAATTAATATGAAGTGTTAAAAAGAAAGGAAAATGGAATAATCCAGTCTCATCCCAAATGGCCAGTGAGATGAACTTTGTAAGTAACTGTTTGGGATCATTTTGTGTTCCGGCTGAATTTTTGCTGTGTGTTCTGCGTCTTGGCCTTGAGAGCGCGTGGCATTCTCGGCTGCGTGTACAGACTTTGGTGGACTGGACACACAGCCATGTTCACGCATATGTCTGCAGGCAGCCTGAAGCGGCCAAGTGACACTGCTTTAGGAACGGGGCCTGTGAGGCACAGCACGTGAGCCTGCAGTTCCCATACCAGATGAAGGGCCTGTTCATTCCAACACAGTTGTTACCCTCCTGCCAATTGGCCTGGACTCCACTCTGGCCAGATGGACATGATTCAGAAGGACAGCAAATGGGGGAGGAGAGGGATCCGTCAGCTGCTGAAAGCAGTTCAAAGCCCTGAGGCTTTTCCCCTCTACCTGCTCCATCACCAAGGCTAATTGGGTTGGCTCCTTTTTTTCCCCTTCCACCAGAAGCCCTTCCATTGCCCTTTTGCGATGTATTTTCTCCTCTGAGCTATTTGTGACATGACCTTTCAATGATTTTTACCTCATTGAGAGAACTAGATCCAGAGAGAGGCTGATTGAAGGGGATTTACCTGGGGCTCCATATATTACTCAGATGGCTGTATTTCAAAGACCACTGTGGGGGTGTTTAAGAAAACATTTATAAGAGCAAGAAAGACGTGCTGCAACAAAAAGTTAAATTTCTTAAGTTTAAGAGAGGAAATTCGGTTATTCCTTGAAGAAGCCAGTTCATAAGGCACTAACGTTATAGCACAAACTGGAGGTTGTAGGTGCAGGGTCTGGAACCTCGCTCCCTGACTTTGAACCCCTGCCCTGACATTCACTAGCTGTGTGAATTCAGGCATGTTATCCAGTTTTCCTGTGCCTCAGTTTCCCCAGATACCTACTAGGGCTGTGAGAATAAATTGAATTAATCCACGTGAAGCACTTAGGAGAGTATCTGGTTTGATAAACAGTCAGGAAATGCTAAAACATTTTTGTTACGGCAACAAAGTACTTTTATTAACAATCTATATACTCTCTACTCCAAAAATCAATTAAGGCATTATCCCAAAGCAATACATAACAAACAAAAAATGAGAAAAGTGAAAATAAAAGAACAAAAATCCACTGAAGGGGTGAGAGAGGTACCTGTACTGGGTACACGGATGAGCTTAGCTATGAGTTAGCTATGTGGTAAGTGCAGAGCCCTAAGACTTGCTGGGTTAGGTGCTTCTCTCTGTCTGATAAAAGGAAGCAGGTAGATTTTTCTTAAAAAACAAAAATTTTAAAGCACTAAATTCTAAGTCCTTTATGTGGCTGCTTAAATTGGGAGAAGCAAAGAGCAAATCAATTTCTTCAATTTTAAAAAAGATTAGAACGTAACAAAATTACAGAAATGAAGACCAGATAGGTGGTTGCCAGGGACTGATGATGGCAGAGGGGAGGGATGTGGGTATGACTATATGACCATGATGGGGTAGCATGAGGGAGGTCTCTATGGTGGTAGCTTGATTGCAGCTGTGGTTAGATGACTCTACACACCTGACAAAATGGCACAGAGTGATACGTATACATTGTACCAATGTTAATTCCTGTTTTTTTTTTTTAAGTGGGCTCCACGTTGGGTGTAGAGCCCAATGTGGGGTTTGAACTCAAAACCTTGAGATCAAGACCTGAGCTGAGATCAAGATTCAGATGCTTAACCAAGCCACCTAGGCGCCCTTAATTTCCTGGTTTTGATACAAGATGATAGTTATGCAAGATGGAACCATTGATGGAAACTGGGCTAAGGGTAACTGGACCTCTCCTTACTATTTTTGCAACTTCCTGTGAATGTATAAATATTTCAAAATGAAAGTTAAAAAAAGAATATTTTTCCAATGTATATTACACTGCCATGAAAATACCGTTGCATGTTTGGTTTTTTATTTTTCTTTGAAAGAGTTATTTTCCTTAAGATAATTTTAGGTTCTTGCACTTCCTCCCAGCCACCCAAAAAGTCTCAAAGAGATCTTGCATATCCCTTAATCACATAAATCACATTTAACTTTTAAAAAAGTTAAAATTTATTTCAAATCTTCATTTTCCTTCCGTAACCAGGCTTGCCTTTTCCTGACCAGTATTGACAAGTCAACTCTAATCCTCTCAAATTCCCACTAATTTATGCTCAACCATTTGCTCAACACCTATCCATGTGGAAGTAGTTATTTCAATTCTGAACTGCCTTGATTTATATCAATATTTCTGGGTTACCTTCTGTAACAAGATTTTATTTATGTACAGTGATGCGGTCTCTATCTCCTTATCTTTTTTTATGTCAGCTATTCCCTGATGTTGGCTTGTGACATCTCTAAGACTCTTAAGGAGGCAAGCATTGAGTTTATCTGAATTTATCAGGCTTTCTGAGAGGTAGGTCACATGGCTAAATTGGTACGTTTCCCTTACGTGATAAGCTAGGAGCCACTCCACACTTTTGTACCATTAACCAGAGGTGTATGTGTGTTTACTTCCCTGCCTCTTAGGTGACTTATAAGCCTGCTAGCTGCCTTTTGTTTGCTGCAATCTGGCACAAAGCCTCGATCCTGCTTCAAGCATCAGTATCCACTTGGGATGTTGCTCTCTTTGGGGGGATGCAGGCACGCACCTTTCATCTGCACGAAGTCGAGCTGGTGAATGGATTGCAGTAGAGGGCTGTTGTCCAGACTCAGGTCGAAGTCCGTGGTCATCCTGGGAGTGAGCGTGCCTTTCCCCCACTGGTCCTCAGTCAGGTGCACTCTCCTTATGAGGGCGTCGGAAATCTAATCACATCAAAGACCACAGCCTAAGAAATATAATACCACACTGGACCCAGAACACTGCTCCTACACTCTCTGGAAGCATTACCAAACCACTTTGGGACTCACACCTTTCTGATCTCCATGTAGGCAGTGAGAAGCCCATTATGACAAGTGTCACCCATGCAAATCTGGGTGCTTTCGTGAGTCGGCGGGAGCAACTATATAATTAGCAGCTGTAAACTGCTCTAATATATAAACCTGGATATATGCTAATAATATTTATGACTAATCAACTAAAAGCCAACAACATTAAATAATATTTTGGTGATCTGTTAATCCTAGTAGAACTAACAACCCTAAGTTTCTAACAGAAGGTGTGGGTATTTTGTCAACCCTTGGAATGAGTTTTATAAAATAGTTTAGAGAGGCTGCATACGGTAATCTGTAAAAGTGGAATTTCTTACACTTTAAGCCCGTCATCTTCTGTATCACTTTATTCTTTGATAGAGAACTCTTTCATTTCTTATATTTAATCTCCCTTTGTCATTCTTGGCCAGTTTGATAAAACATGAATTGGAAGGAATCTATGTATTCCTTAATAAAATCTCCCTTAATCACTGAGATCAAAACAAGTAAAATTCAGTTGACATCATCACATCTCATTAAAACAATCAACATTGAAAAAATCATGAGAAATCCAAGGAATGAAAAAAACTTCACTTTATTTGGGAAATCACTGGCCAGTAGGAACTGCCAAGGAGGTAGAAGCCTTGCATATTTAGACATTTCTAGCTGACAAAGCTGTCCAAGATATTAGTGGAAAGGGACCCAATTCTTAGGCAAGGCAGCGACTCTGCTTTGGAGGAACTTACAGGGAATTACATTTTCATAATTAAACATGAACAAAAACAAATTTTAAGAAGCCCATATACTTCTCAACCTTGTAGCACATGGTGGCAGAGACTTCCAGGAAGTTAGCGGAGTTTTACTGGTGCCCACACATGCATGGCAGCCTGAAAGTGGGTTCCATTGTGGAGGGACCCATGCTCAGCAAGGGCTGCTGGGAGTCTGGCTGTGGCGTTGTAGACTGAGTTTCATGGGACATTGAGAATCTGAAGTGGAAACTAGTTGACACTTACCTGCAAAAAGCCACTAGGATCATTTTCCTTAATGACCTCCAGGCAGTACTCCATGAGACCTGTGGTCTGGCGCAATTTCACTGTGCAGTGAGAGATCTGATCTCGAACCACCTACGATTGATGAGAGAACAGAACGGTCCAAAGTGGCACAGGGTGAAAAAGAAGCAAACTGTGGTGTCTGAAGGGACATCTTCTTCAGGTTCCCCTTGCTCCCCGTCTTCCAGGAAGCTGATACTGTGAGCTGTTCTCAGTGGGAGGTCATGGAGAGTCTACGAAGGAGCTGAGCAACCTGAGGTGCGGCTGCAGCTTCTGTTCTGCGAACAGTCACCCACCTGCTCCCACCCTGTGCCTCTCTTCTAAAGAGGAAACATCCCCATCTGAACCCAATTCCTTCTCATTCTGATTCTTCTTCCTGAGCGGGTGGTGGGATGGGGTTAGAGGTGAAACTTGCTGAAGACAATGAGCTGATGACAAGGAAGCCAGACAAACATAGATGCAGAGTTAAGTTTTGAGTATAACCCACTTAGAAGCAGTCACTGCCTCATTTGGGAGAGCAGTTTTTAAAAAAATATTTTATTTACTTATTTAGAGAGACAATGAGAGAGAGAGACAGAATGAGCGGAGGAGTGGCAGAGGGAGAGGGAGAAGCAGACTCCCCACTGAGCAGGGAGCCCGATGCGGGGCTCAATCCCAGGACCCTGAGATCAAGGCCTGAGCCGAAGGCAGACGCTTAACCCACTGAGCTACCCAGGCGCCCCCGGGAGAGCAGTTTTAAAGGCTCTCTATGTACCATGCTGTGAGTCTGCTTTAACCTAGAAAGGCATCTCTCTGAACATGCAGTTTCTGCCTCTGGGAAGTGTCAAACACATGACAGTCCTTGAAAAGTTTCTTTCTTCAAAGATTCATTTTCCATGCCCTTTGCTCAGTGACCCAAATCCTGAAGTAGTTTCTGAGGCTAGAGTTGAACAAGAGTTTTCTAGGAACCTCAGCTACTTACATCCTTGGTATTTATACTACTTTGCAAAAGCCTCAAAAATATCCAGCCCTCTGGATTTTATAAATAATAACTAAAAATGAGTTTTAATAATAATTATCGAAAAGCTTTTTCTTTGTTCCTTCTTTTCAGTTTTGATTATACATTTTCCATTAAAGATTATTATATCTACTTTCGAAAACAACTGGAAAACAGACCAGAAAAAGCAGTCATCTCATCACTCTAATGCAAATTTTTAAAGCATTTTGATATTTCCTTTTAGGTTTTATCCTTGAGCTAGATATATTTATAGTTGCAATCATAATATGTGCCAATTTTACCTCCTTCCCACTTAACACTATACCATAGGCATTTTACATGTTGCCACCATCAATAAATGTTACTGGCTCCATAAATATCCCACTGAGTGGGTTATCGTAATTAAGTAATCATTCCTGTTCCTCTATTTTTGGACATTTAAATTCCTCCTAACTTTTTTTGACAATTCATCCATTTATTATTGCTGGTGTCTGTTTCTAATTTTTGTTTTATTGTGATAAAATATACATAACATAAAATTTACAATTTTAGGTATTTTTTAAAAAAGATTTTATTTATTTGAGAGAGAGACAGAGATAGTGACATAGATAGTGAGAGAGAGAGAGAGAACAAGCAGGGAGGAGAGGGAGAAGCAGGCTCCCCGCTGAGAAGGGAGGTCGATGTGGGACTCCATCCAGGACCCCGGGATCATGACCTGAGCCGAAGGCAGACACTTAACTGACTGAGCCACCCAGGTGTCCCAACCTTAGCTATTTTTTTAATTAGATAATTCTGTGGCATTAAATACATTCATATTGTTGTGCAACTCTCATCACCATCCATTCCCAGAATTGTTTTCATCTCTCCAAACTAAAACTTTGTACCTATTAAACAATAACTCTCTATTCTGCCCTCCTCACTGGTCCCTGGTGATGCCACCATTCTACTTTCTGTTTCTATGGATTTAACTACTCCAGGACTCTCATATAAGTGGAATCATATAATATTTGTCTTTTTGTGACTGACTTATTTCATTTAGCATAATGTCTTCGAGGTTTATCCACATTGTAGCTGATGTCAAAATTTCCTTCCTTTTTTTTTTTAAGATTTATTTGTTTTAGAGAGAGACAGAAAGCACAAGTGGGAGGGGCAAAGGGAGAGGGAGAGAGAAACACAAGCAGACTCCTTACTCAGCACAGAGCCCAATGCAGGGCCCGTGATTGCAACCTGAGCTGAAACCAAGAGTCGGACTCTTAACTGACTACACCACCCAGGCACCCTTGAATTTCCTGAATAATATTCCATTATAGGTACATAGCACATTTTGTTTATCCATTCATCCACTGATGGACACTTGGGTTGCTTCTACCTTTAGCTATTGTGAATAAAGCTGTTATGAACATAGGTATACAAATATCTGTGAAAGTCCCTGTTTCACTTCTTTTGGGTATATACCCTGAAGTGGAATTGCTGGATCATATGGTAATCCTATTTTAGTTTTTTTGCAGAACATCATACTGTTTTCCGTACCAGCTGCACGGAAACATTTTATATTCCCATTAGCAATGCACAAGTGTTCCAACTTCTCCACATCCTCACCAACACTTATTACTATCTTTTAAAAAAAATAATAATTGCCATCCTAATGGGTGTGAAGTGGTATCTCATTGTGGGTTTTGATTTGCATTTCCCTAATGACTAGTGATGCTGATCATCTTTTCATATGCTTATTGGCCATTTGTATATCTCCTGTGGAGAAATGTCTATTCAAGTCCATTGCCCATTTTTTAATTGGCTTGTTTGTTTTTTTGCTTTTGATGCACAAAATTTATAAATTTTCATGAAGCCCAATTTGTCTACCTTTTCTTTTGTTGCCTGTGTCTCTGGTGCAATATCCAAGAAATCACTGCCAAATCCAGTGTTGTGAAGCATTTGCCCTGTGTTTTCATCTAAGAGTTTTATAGTTTCAGTTCTTACATTTAGGTCTTTGGTCCATTTTGAGTTAATTTTTGTATATGGTGTTAGGTAATGGTCCAACCTCTTTCTTTGGCATGTGGATAGCTGGTTTTCCCGGTGTCATTTGTTGTAAAACTGCCCTTTCCCCATTGAATGGCCTTGCCACCCTTGTCAAAATCATACTGTTTCCATTATTGTAGCTTCGCAGTAAGTTATATAATCAGGAAGTGTGAGAACTCCAGTTTTGTCCTTTACACGATTGTTTTGGCTCTATGGAGTCTTCTAATTTTTTTGACAGATGATTTGTTACCCCTTTTTCACTTTTAATAAAATTAAAATAAAAAATAAAGTGTAGGATTTAAAATCTCCTTGTCAGAATTGGTGAAAGAAACCAACTTTGATGTGAAGATGGTTTTGTGATTTTGGCGGGGAGAGGGGAGATCAAATTTAAAATTCAGTGATTGACTTATTTTCTTCTGACATCTAGTATTCTATCAAACCACCATCCCTATTTGTTGGTCTGGGCTCATGGAATGCAAATTATTATTATTATTTTTTTTTTTTAATAAAAAGTAAACAGGAAGATTAAGTTTCTGCTTCTTGGGAGAAAAAAACACAAAACACCCAAAAGTATAAAAAAAAAAATCCAGGACAGGTGACCTACAGCTAATATGCTACTCCTCTCTGCTATCTTAGGTGTAACTAAATTGTTCCCAGAAAATGTTTTGATATTTTGGTAGCCAGTGCATCAATGCTTCTAGGTAGTAGAAGTCTCAGCAGTCGTCAATCACTATCCAAATGGCATCTGTCCTAGGACTGTGCATACATAACCGACTGGTGCTCAAGTCTGAAATAACAAGCACAGACTAGATCTGGGCGTTGTAACCCAAAGTGACTCTGCTATTGAGGCAAAATAGACATGAATTGTGTTTATGTTCCAGAGCATTCAGATCAATGATAATTTTATGACCTAAATGTACTGAAATAAATACGTTAATCAGGCCTCATAAAATTCTGTTTGCTTCTATAAATTTCCTCCTCAAGCAAGATTTGTTTGATGCCGAAGGAACTGATTGTTGGAGCTCTCTGACTACTCTTAAGAAGCTGCACTGTAGTAAAGAGTTGTGAGTTTCAGTGGGGGTTGGCCATTGGCTCCTGTATTCCATGGTTCAAGCTTCTTGGAAGGACTCAAAATCCCTGAGTTCTTGGCTCTTGACTCCCACTGTTCCAACAGTGGATTTTGGCCCATCTTTTTACATTTTAATCAACCATTTCACAATGCTCCCAGTGGCCTGTGATAAAAATCACTGCTAAAAATTAAACTACAAGGTTCCCAGAAGCAGCACTTTTGGGTGTGTTGTAACTGACGTCTAGTTTCTTTTCTTTTCTTTTTTTTTAAAGATTTTATTTATTTATTTGACAGAGAGAGACACAGCGAGAGAGGGAACACAAGCAGGGGGAGTGGGAGAGGGAGAAGCAGGCTTCCCGTCGAGCAGGGAGCCTGATGCGAGGCTCAATCCCAGGACCCTGGGATCATGACCTGAGCCTAAGGCAGAGGCTTAAACGACTGAGCCACCCAGGTGCCCCTGACATCTAGTTTCTGAATTAATTTGGCAAGATTTCCCATCCTTTGGAAATCAGTGAAATAATTAGATCTTTTAAGAGTATAAATATTTTTTCTCTAGTTGAGAGTTTTTATCAGTTCTCTTATTTGTTACCTTCTTCACTCTGTGTTACTTCTACTACTGTTATTATTTATCTCATGTTATATTTTTTATGGAAAACAATTCCTAGGAAGCTAGGCCATGTCACTTTTCCTTTGAATTCCACATTTCTGTGCAGTTGCTCTGATGCTCCAGAGAAACCATGTTTGCAGCTGGCTGGAGTTAAGAGTTCCTTTTCCTAGGAAGGAAATGTGCAAATTGCAAGAATGACACAAATAGGGACTGGGAAACAATCTTCCTGCTTTCATCTGCATTATGGCCTAAACCAGCTCTCTGGAGACAGTGAATTAATCTTTAGTTCATAGTTTCAGAGAATGCTTTCACAATTTTATTAGCAGTCCCCATCTGTTCGGGATGACAAGTCCTATTGATCACTTGAACGTTTTTATTTTGTTAAGTGGCAAATTTATTAAGGTCAT